GTGGGCTTGATAGTAGTACAAATCTGGTGGCAAGTTGAGATAGTATTGATCTAGTGGTGACCGAGGGTGGTGATTGTGAGATGGCTGGAAGTGCAAATTTGATGGTGACATTGTAGATTGTTGTCAATGGTTGTAATGGTGGTGGTGGAAATAGGCAGCCCCAACGACAACGTTGATAATCACCACAGTGATGAAAACATGCAGCGGAATAGACATAAAATTGTGTTACAAAAAGTGTAACACATATTTTACACAAGGGTAACACACAGTCTTACAAAAAATAATAATAAAATAAATTAAAAAAGTAAAATAGTTGTGCAGAAAAATAAAATATCATAAAGAAGAGGGGAAAGGGAAAACGAGAGCACCACATACTTGCAGTTCCTAGGCCTTCGGGGCTACCGTAATAGCTTGCTCTCGATTTTTGAAATCCTTGGCCATAACAAGTTGCTGCCAACAGCAATATCATAGGAAAAAAGAAGAAATAAGAACCCATTTTTCAGACAGCTCCAATTCTTGAAGGGGACGAGGGATACACAAAAGCTGGATTTTAGATGCCGTTTTATAGCAGAACGAGAGCACGCACTCAGAATTAATGATTTTAATATCTACGATTTTTCTCCCACTATGGACTAATGGTGTAATGGAAAGCTAAAAACTACCGACATCGAAAATTGACTTCTTAAGACTATATCGTTACTGCTAAGGGTGAAACTTACATCTTCACGCATACGTACAACATTTAACGGCTTGAATCATTCCTCTTAACAGTATAAATATTTTCCGATGGAACCTCAAAATTCAATATGTAATTTACTTATTAGAACCTAAGACGCTCAAATGTGGAATTTTATCGGTCAAAAGCTCAAATCAGCAATCCAATTTCAAATTAATAGTAAAAAATAAGCTACGATTTTTTGGGAACTTGCAACATAGTACAGTAGTTTACACCTACTTATAAAATCATCTTTATAATTTATTCTCATGAACAAGAGGAAATTACAAAGGAAGTGGTGCCATAAGGGGCAGGGAAAATGAACGTCCCTGCAATATTTTTATTTTTTAAAAATACATGTAATACACATAATATTTGTATATCGTCTTTTCATATTTTTTTGGCCCCGAAAGTGATAATCCAACTCCACCACTGGAAAAGAACAACGTCATAGAATGAAGAGCTTGTGTCTTTAACATTCTTTTTTTAAATTTTGGTTGTGTTTAAATTATAAATTAAGAAGCAGGTTTCTCGAAATGTGTGAATAAAAACTAAGCGATAAGTAGTAGATTCATAGAGTATATGGATAATCAGTGTTTGATATGTTTAAATTATAATTTAAACTTGTGCTAAACATGCACAATTTATGATGAAACATAAAATTCTTCCTATGTTAAAACTTTAACCAAGACGTAACTCTAATTTTTGCTAAAATGTTTCTCACAACCTCCATACATAATTATTAGCATCACATTACGATGGCAACTACAGACAAAATGCAACTGTATTTTAGCAATAAGTACGACTGCTGGACCTCGTTCATAATTTTATTAATCCCACTTAATTCATGTCAATATTTTTTTCTACCTTCTTACCCTTCAAATACGTAATTGTACAGTATGTACAAGGTAACTATGATTATACTTTTCTTTTTTTTTTTAACTATATGAATTTCATACATTTTTGAAAAAAAGATCATCTGCTTTTAAATTTTCAATTAAATCAATTATTATTTTAATTTAGATGAATCTACATGACCTGATAGATATTCCAAATAATAATAAACACTATTACCACCTTACAGAAAGCATTAAAGTGGAACCTTCAATTTCTACTCCGTGATTATCTTCTTCCAAAAATATCAAAAAAAATATCTATTCCATGAGTGCACATGGAACTATTTAATTCCATGTGGAGAATGCTTATTTGGTATCAATTCGATCTATTTGTATTAGAATTGGACTTAACTATGTAGACCCTTAATCAAAAAATGGTTATTGAACTCACTAGACTAAAATATTATCATACAAACTAACATACTTAAAAAAGTAAATAGACATTTATTCTATTCCCTAGTAGTTTTAGATTTGAATGGAATATGGTCACTCGGAGATAGAATTGCATCTCCACATTAATCCAAGTCTGAAATGAATAATCATATGATCATTTTTCCGCATATAAAATATATGAGTAGAGTAGGAAATTTATTATTTGGCCACCACGCCCCAGCTACCATCACAATATATATATAACCTTGCTACATATACACTATGACGGCGTAACTTTTGTTTACACTTTGTCACGTGACATTATCATATTAAACAATTTAAATTTCAAACAATTTTGTTCATCCAATTGACATTTGACAACAATATAAGTGTCAACCAACATGTTGGTCGGAGTTTTTCATTTCTAAGGTGGCAATCTCATTTGGAGAAGAAGAGACCACGAAGAGAAGCGCTCTGGTGAGTATAGTCGATTGGTGTGTTGGAAATGACATGGATCTCTCCGGAACAGGTGGTGCCGTTGGAGTTTGAGTGATAGTATTTTGGAAATAATATGGAGGTTCACTGGTTTGGCAATGGTTTCAATTTTAATAAGGCCTAGCACAAAACATCCCTACGTTTGACACTTTTTGCGGAAAACGTTCCTACTTTTGACATTTCTTGCGTAAAACATCCATACGTTTCAATTTTTTTTTTTTGCATTTTCATCCTTATTTTCACGTTTCATTGCGAACCACGTCATTTTCATCAATTTGAAACGTAAGAACATTTTATACACTACATATCAAACATAAGGACGTTTTGTACTATTATACATTTTAATAATTATTTGGACACACTTACACTTTTTAAAATATTTAGGAGTAAAATTGCAATTTATTCTTTATTTTTCTTTTCTTTTTCTTTTTTTTATTTTTATTTTTTTAAAAGGGGCATTTTTAGCAATGAAACGTTGAAATAAGGACGAAAATGCAAAAAAATGAAACGTAAGGACGTTTTCCCCAATAAGTGTCAAACTTAGGGATGTTTTGTGCTATTAACCCATATTCCAAATAATAAACACTATTACCACCACACAGAAAGCATTAAAGTGAAACCTTCCATTTCTACTCTATAATTATTTTCTTCCAAAACTATCAAAAGAATGTCTATTCCATGAGTGCACATGGAACTATTTAATTCCATACGTAGAATGCTTATTTGGTATCAATTCGATCTATTTGTATTAGAATTGAACTTAACTATGTAGAACCTTAATCAAAAAATGGTTATTGAACTTGTCACTAGACTAAAATATTATCATACAAACTAACATACTTAAAAAAGTAAATAGACATTTATTCTATTCCCTATTAGTTTTAGATTTGAATGGAATATTGTCATTGGGAGATAGAATTCCATCTCCGCATTAATCCAAGTCTGAAATGAATAATCATATGATCATTTTTCCACATATAAAATATATGAGTAGAGTAGGAAATTTATTATTTGGCCACCACGCCCCAGCTGCCATCACAATATATATAATCTTGCTACATATACACTATGATGGCGTAACTTTTGTTTACACTTTGTCACGTGACATTATCATATTGAACAATTTAAATTTCAAACAATTTTGTTTATCCAATTGACATTTGACAACAATATAAGTGTCAACCAACATGTTGGTCGGAGTTTTTCATTTCTAAGGTGGTAGTCCCATTTGGAGAAGAAGAGACCATGAAGAGAAGCACCCTGGTGAGTATAGTCGATTGGTGTGTTGGAAATGACATGGATCTCTCCGGAACAGATGGTGCCGTCAGAGTTTGGGTGATGGTATTTTGGAAATGATATGGAGGTTCACCGGTCTGGCAATGGTTTCAATTTTAATAAGGCCTAGCACAAAACATCCCTATGCTTGACACTTCTTGCGGAAAACGTCCCTACTTTTGACACTTCTTACGTAAAACATCTATACGTTTCAATTTTTTTTGCATATTCATCCTTATTATCACATTTCATTGCGAAAAACGTCATTTTCATCAATTTGAAATGTAAGGATGTTTTGCACGCTACATATCAAACGTAGGGACGTTTTATAGTATTATGCCTTTTAATAATTATTTGGACTTACTTGCACTTTCAAACGTAGGCACGCTCTGTTATTTGGTCTCTATTTTGATGCTGAGTGTGTGTGGCGATTTTTGGGTACTGCAAGTTTTGGATTCGAAATATTCATTTCATTCTCTAACAAAAGTGAGGATATGCATCAATATTAGTGCCAATTTGAGTGCACTCTACACCCCTTTCTTGTATCTAAATTTTCACTTGCTTTCTGAAAATGTTGCACACATTTTAGGTGCTATTTGAGTGCACTTTACACCCCTTTCTTGTGTCAAAATGGGCCCTGCCACTCTCCATGTTGATCATCTAAGTATTATATATATATACATATATATAGAAGAAACATCTACTAGAAGATTATAATGACTTGCGAAATCCTTTATTGAAGTTAAAATTTTATAATAGTACCCACCTCAGGATTTGGGTGGTATCGGAGTCAACAAGCTCAAAGAACAATTTTCGATCCGACTAGAGTTCAAATGAGCAATCGGATTTTCATCAATTTGAAATGTAAGGACGTTTTGCACGCTACATATCAAACGTAGGGACGTTTTATACTATTATGCCTTTTAATAATTATTTGGACTTACTTGCACTTTCAAACGTAGGCACGCTCTGTTATTTGGTCTCTATTTTGATGCTGAGTGTGTGTGGCGATTTTTGGGTACTGCAAGTTTTGGATTCGAAATATTCATTTCGTTCTCTAACAAAAGTGAGGATATGCATCAATATTAGTGCCAATTTGAGTGCACTCTACACCCCTTTCTTGTATCTAAATTTTCACTTGCTTTTTGAAAATGTTGCACACATTTTAGGTGCTATTTGAGTGCACTTTACACCCCTTTCTTGTGTCAAAATGGGCCCTGCCACTCTCCATGTTGATCATCTAAGTATTATATATATACATATATATAGAAGAAACATCTACTAGAAGATTATAATGACTTGCGAAATCCTTTCATTGAAGTTAAAATTTTAAAATAGTACCCACCTCAGGATTTGGGTGGTATCGGAGTCAACAAGCTCAAAGAACAATTTTCGATCCGACTAGAGTTCAAATGAGCAATCGGATTTTGCAGGATGTATTAAAGGTATAATGATATAATGCAAGAGCAGCCTTAATAGTGCCTTTCTTTGTAGCTAATTGGCCACTTCAGGGGCACGTGCATATTTCAATATACAAATGCCAATAGAAAAAAATCTTGTCATTCTGGAAGTGTACGTTGATAATGTAGAGAAATTGTGATATTATTAAGCTAGTGTCGAAATAAAAATTTGCTTGACGGCGGACTGTCTAGAGCGCCTACTTTAAAAAAAAAATTAAGAGGGAGGGCTAATATAAATTTATCTTTTGACGAAGACAGATTCTAAGAAGACGATAAGTTTATC